TATTGTGCTGGCTAAATTATGTCTCCAAGTGATTCACATATCTGCTTCAGACAAAACATTTTGTCCAAATTAACCACTTTGTAGAACGGAACAAACGATTTTCCGCTCTTACTTCTGATCATCAGTACTCTTGATTTAAGAATCTGTGATTGCATAACATGATCTCAAGCTAGAAAGTATCAAACAGATAGCTGTATTTTAGAAACAAGAAAGAGATAAAATAGGATTTAAAGAATATGCCAAAAAAGAGAAGGCACAGAAAAGAACAAAATTGTCGCTTGGACTCTCATGTTAACATATTATTTTTGATGTTTGTATGATAACCACGATGAATCGAAGTTATCAGCCTGCTGTTCAGCAGCCAGCAAAAGCGTCTTTATAATGGCATTTATCTATCGTAAAATCTTCTTACATAACCATATGTCCATATGTAATTTGCATACAGGGTGATGTCCAATGTGATGTACCAAAGTGTGTATTGTGACTATATCGAGCTACCGTGCGTTCATGTACATGTTTCTTTTTGTTTTCTTTCTCATGCTATTTATAAATATATCCAGTTATTTATTTATTTTTAAATTATATATTCTAATTTCTGCCGCGGCGTAGCAAGACAGCAATTCTAATACAGAAAATACGGAGCACAAACGTACGGAAAGGTCAGAGCTGATATTGATGTTATTCACCCACAATCCATTGCTTTCGCTGCAAACAATGGATTTTTTTGTTTTCGCCGTCAAAACTATTTACGTCACTTGTACCGTCATGCACATCGGGCGTTTACCATCAATATTCACCACAAGGACCACAAGAGGTATTGCTCTCTTCTTCTTGAAATTGTGAATTATACCATGTCTCTAGATTGAAAAAAGTAAACCATCTGACTATGCAAATTTGATAGTAAAAAAAAAAAAAATAGAAAATAATGCCACAAAACTGAATACAGCATAAATGTAATATCTATTTCACTAGTCTATTGACCTCAAGTATTACCATTTAGCTCAGATAAATTTTCAATATTATTTCGTCAGCATTTTCAAATGATTTTTAAGTGCGTCTTATTTCTATAGCTCAATATCCCCTGTATCACTCTCTTTTTTTTCAGAGAGCGTTTTTAAAATGTTTTTAAAATGAGTTACCAAGAACGTTATCGAAGGAAAAACCCCTTCCCATGGTCACGTAATTTCATAGTCCAATCATAAGCGAAGGAAAACAATTGTTTTATTGACGTGTCAAAAACTCATAGATGATTAGCTCCGAATACATTATTCAGAACGCAGTTTTTGAATGTTCCATATGTCTGAAACAATAACAAATAAATAGCCATAATACTAAAAGAAGTAAGAAAGTTTTTAATTAAGTTTAACCATTTGACGACGGATGTTTATTTGCTGATTCTGGAGCATTTACGAACCTAAAAAGATGATAGAATATTTGACTTCCATATAAGGTGTTGTCAATCAAACTATTGCGAATTTGAATTCCCTAGGGAGCGTTAATTGATGCAATGCATTGTAAATTTAGGTCGGATCATTTATTTGCCGAGCGGTTGAAAAGAATGCAATCGGCCCAACATTTTGCCTGTAGGTGCAGAAGAGCCCACAGAATTCTTAAAAGAAGAATGCTGCAAGATTTATGGCAACTTTTTGTCTTTTCCCATGATGCATTTCGGTCGTGCATAGGAGTTTGTTGTACCGGGTGCTCAAAAGAGGGCTGTTGAGAGGTTTGCAGTGACTTTTCTTGACAAAATAAAAACGGCAAAATTCTATTTTACATGTCAAAAGCTGCACCATGGCTAATGAATTTTAAAGTTGTTTGCAGGCGAGAAGTGGACTTTTTGCTAGGAAAACATGTTTTGACATGAAAAAATTGAGATCATGGAAATCAGTGTTACTGTAGTCCTCCAAAATTTGGCATTCATTTCTAAGCATAGTACTGTTTTGTGCCTTTTTTACCTCGGCTAGTTGAGAAATTCTTTGAACTGTAAGATCGACACTATTTAGTTGTAAGTTCGTACGAGCAATTTCAGGGCTATAGCTTACTATTATAGATTTTAGACGCATCGGTAGAATTCGAACGATATTCTATAGGGCCGTCACCAGAGGGTTAAGCGCATTTTAATTTGATGACATAAACGTGGTATCACCTGAAAGAGATTAAATAAAACTATGTCAATGATAGAAATATTAGAAAGAAACAGTGACGTAATAGGAATATTATGCTCAAGATATTATGAAAGTAAACAACATTCTCCTGAAAGGATCAATTTATTGATTTGAGATTTCTGTTGAACTGACGTCACAAGAAATTGATTTTAATAGATATATAAAAGCTATTTTTTTTCAGTCTTTTTTTGGTTGTTTGTTTGTATTTTTCATTAAGCAGTTAGAATCAATCTAAAGGAAACTACTAATTGATTGATACGTAGCTGGGATAGTAGAACGTTTTACTATATGTCAGTTCATTAAATCGCTTATATCAGGGTCTGAATGGGGTTACCCGACTAGCAACAAATGGACAAAATAACTACTGACTAGCGACAAATTTGAACAAAATTTGCTGACTACCGACATTAACAAATTTACTGACTGGCGACATTTTCCAATATTCAAAGATGTTAGCTCCGTGAATACAAGCTTTTTCTTTATTTTTCAAGCAACTACATTCGAAATT